TCTGTCTCCATCGCCACACTCTGCCATGCTTGCCACTTTCAGGTCTCCTCACACTGCTGGTGGGTTCCATTTTTGTCATAGGGTGCTGGCAGATTACGGGCCTCCCATTGCTGGTGCCAGGCCCTTAATCTCCATGGGCCCCCGTACCGACTCCTCATGCTGCTGCCAGGCCCGTAATCTGTCATGGGCCCCTGTACCGCCTCTTCATGCTGCTGCCCAGGTCCAGAGTGTGTCATGGGTCCCTGTACGGCCTCCCATTGCTGCTGTCTCCATCGCCACACTCTGCCATGTGCCACTTTCAGGTCTCCTCACACTGCTGGTGGGTTCCATTTTGTCATAGGGTGCTGTATGGCCTCCCATTGCTGCTGCCAGGCCCGTAATCTGCCATGGGCCCCCGTACCGACTCCTCATGCTGCTGCCAGGCCCGTAATCTGTCATGGGCCCCTGTACCGCCTCATCATGCTGCTGCCAGGTCCAGAGTGTGTCATGGGTCCCTGTACGGCCCTCCCATTGCTGCTGTCTCCATCGCCACACTCTGCCATGTGCCACTTTCAGGTCTCCTCACACTGCTGGTGGTTCCATTTTTTCATAGGGTGCTGTATGGCCTCCCATTGCTGCTGCTCCACCGCCACACTGTGGCTCCACACTCTGGTTTTGGCCCCGTGACTGCCCAAATGAGTGAAGTGTGCGGTGATTCTAAGATCGACGACACTCATCTGCATGTCATACTGACTGACAGTATTATTTCTCTTCCCCAGCAGACTCCAAGGGCATTTAAATTAAAGGTACAGTGTTTCTGCACTAATATAAAGGCTCTCTGAAGCCTAGAAACACCCTTTTTATATGTTAAATTCGCAGCGAATATATTCGACTCGAATCGAATTTATTCCGCGAATTCGTCGAATCAGCCGAATCGAATTTTTGAATAATTCGCTCATCTCTAGCAGTGTCCAAAATACCAAGGTATAAATCAATTGAATCAAGTACATATAATAATATAAACGCAGTGTTCAAAATTAATAATATAAATGCAGTGTCCAAAAAAAATAAAATATACAAGGTATAAATCAATGAATCAAGTACATATAATAATATAAATGCAGTGTCCAAAATATAAAAGTGTCCAAAAATATTTAAAGTCACACACTAAAGATGCAAATCCAAGTCCTTTCTGCACACGCTTTCCCAAAAATACTCCAAACTCCAAAGTGATCCTCAAAAAAAAATGAAACTAAAATAGTGTATTATCCTTAAAACAATAATGTACAATCATATACAACGTAAGTGTCACTTTTTATATATGATGGGTACTATGGAGTAATCCTGCTCAAGGTCCTCATGACAGCTAGGAGCATTATCCATGAGGCTATGAGGGACATCTCAATGAACATATCCAGGCTGGATTAGCTTTCCTTGGATGGTGTATACCCTTAGTGGTAATAAAGTGCTGTTTCTTTTGCCATCTGGTAAGGGTATTCAGTCATTACACTATAGAAGTGTGTACTACTACTAGCACTTTGATTTTTTGATTTGTTGGATCACAAGAGTGTTTCACTAGCACGTTGTTTTCACGTCGAGCACTTGATTAACATACAGTGTATATGGTCATGTTTGATGTGGAGTGACACTTATGTTGTATATAATTGTACATTATTGTTTTAAGGATAATACACTATTTTAGTTTCTTTTGCATCTTTTGTGTGTGACTTTAATATTTTTGGACACTTGGTATTTTGGACACTGCGTTTATATTATTTATATGTACTTGATTCAATTGATTTATACCTTGGTATTTTGGACACTGTTTTATAATATTTATTTTTGGACACTACAATTATTTATTTTTTTTTTTTTGACACTGCGTTTATATTTATATGTACTTGATTCAATTGATTTATACTTTTTATGCATAGTTTATTTAGTTTAGAACTTGTTTGCTTTGGCTATAGGGTGAGCATATTAAGGGGGATGGGGTGCTTTAGACATCTAGTCTTACTGATACAACCAGCCCTTTAAAGGCAACCATTAATGCTGATGGGGCCCACAATGACACTGAGTTTGACACACTCGACTTAGATCATGGACAGCCACAGCAAACTACTGGCCAGATAAAGCAGGACTATTTCCTTTTGATGAAAGGCATGTGTTGCTGCTAAAAGTACCTGAAAAAAAACACATCAAAAAATGAATGTGATCAGGATGCTGATGCTTTATGTACCGTATTTTTCGCCATATAAGACGCACTTTTTCTTCCCCAAAACTGGGGGGGGGAAATGTCAGTGCGTCTTAATGGGGCGAATATGGAGCGGCCGGTCCGGTATTTCCACCGCGGCCGTGTCAGAATACCGGGCCGCTCAGCTCTGCAGCGGGACCTTACCTGTTCCTCTATCCAGCGGCGTGCTGTCTTCCTGGCTTCTGTAGTGTGGGCACTGGGCATGACAGCCGGGTGCCAAGTGCGCATGCGCAAGAAGCGGTGCTTTTTGTGAATGGTAAGGCGGTACCTGGGACACATGACAGATCCCAGAAGCCGCCGGACCAATCACAAAGCGCAAGTGCTTCTCGCTCATGCGCACTGGGCACCCGGCTGTCATGCCGAGCGCCATTACAGAAGCTGGGAAGACAGCGCGCGGCTGGATCGAGGAACAGGTAAGATCAAACAAAAACTCTGCGGAAGTAAGAGCGGGTACCTGTCAAATTCAGGTACCCGCTCCCCACCTCCCCAAAGGTCAGCAGTCATCTGTACTGTCCGCAGTCGCTGGTCATCCCTGTGCTGTCCGCAGTCTCTGGTCATCCCTGTGCTATGTCCGCAGTCTCTGGTCATCCCTGTGCTGTCCGCAGTCTCTGGTCATCCCTGTGCTGTCCGCAGTCTCTGGTCATCCCTGTGCTGTGCTGTCCTCCAGTCCGCTTTGGTCATCTCCTGTACTGTGTCCCTGTGCTGTCCGCAGTCCATCCCTAGCTTCAGAATTTTTTTTCCGCAGTCCCTGTTTTTCTGCCTCTCCTGTACCTAGGTGCAGTCTTATGGTCAGGTCAGGTGAGTCTTATACGGCGAAAAATACGGTAAGTTAAGCTAGCCAAATAAACAAATCAGCCATCATTTTGTGATAACACATCTAATATTGAGTAGGTCTTGCTTTTGCCGCCAAAATAATCCTGACCCATCACAGCATGGATTCCACCACACATCTGAAGGTATGCTGTGGTATCTGGCACAAAGCCAGTTGAGAGGAGGGTCCTCCATGTTTTTCCAGCAAATCGAACAGATGCTCGTTGCACTGAGATCTGAAGAATTTGGAGGCCAGGACAAAACTTCAAACTCATTGTTGCATTCTCAAACCATTCTTGAACCATTATCCTGGAAAGATGCTCTGCTATCAGGGAACACAGTTTCCAAGAAGGGGTGTACTTGGTCTGTAACACGCATGCAACTCGGCCATCAACATAATGTAAAAGAAAATGTGATTCATCAGACCAGGACACCTTCTTCCATTGCTCTGTGGCCCAGTTCTGATGATCATCTGTGCCCATTGTAGGCACTTTGGGCTGTGGACACGGTTCACATGGGCACCCTGACTGGTCTTCAGCTATGTAGCCCCTTTAACAAACTGCTATGCCCATTTTTTTTTTTTGCTTTCTACACATCAGCTTCAGGGACAACATTTTTACTTGCTACCTAATATATCCCACCCACTTTCAGATGCAGTTGTAATTACATAATCAATATTATTCACTTTATGAAGTCACGTGGTGCATGATGCAACGCATCAGACGGAAGCATGACATCATTTCCGATGATCACCGCCATCTTTGTTTACCTCTATCTATGCTTTATGAGGGTGCTTAGCCCCTATGTTATGTTAACCCCTTTGGGTTTCAGTGATGTGGAGTGTCCAGTGGCCATGACATGCAGAAGAATGAGGAGTTGGAGTTAAGCATAGTCTGACCTGTGTGATGTGGGTCAACCTGTGGAGGTGAGCGTGCATGCCTGGTGGTGGTGGATATTACAGTACACCAAAGGGGAAGATTCGCAAAAAATTACACATTGTGGATTTATTGACACCATGGACTGTCACTTTATCTATGAACATTACTTATGAAAATTCACTTGAAAGTCACTATTTTATGTTTTTTTTTACTCATTATATACAGTTGTGTTTCAAAATAATAGCAGTCAGCCATCACAAATCTGATCAATCACTGTTTTTGGTAGAAATGATATTTCTACATGGCAAATAATTTACTAGCAGGTGTAGTAGAATAATAGAAATCCAACAGACCCAACAGTCATGACATGCATGCTGCTGATTCTGTGTAATTGAATCACTAATTGAAAGGGGCATGTTCAAAATAATAGCAGTGTGGAGTTCTATTAGTGAGGTCATTCATTCTTTGAAAAACAGGTGGTAATTATTGCCCTTATTTAAGGAAGGAATGCAGTAAATGTTGTACATGTTGGTTACAGTGCATTTCTCTCTGAAATTCTGAGGAAAATGGGTCATTCCAGACAATGTTCAGAAGAACAGCGTACCTTGATTAACCACTTGCCTACCAGACACTTATACCCCCTTATTTACCAGGCCAATTTTCAGCTTTCAGTGCTGCCGCACTTTGATTGACAATTGCGCGGGGGGTCGTGCAACAACATTGTACCCATATGAAATTTTGATCATTTTTTTCTCACAAATAGAGCTTTCTTTTGGTGGTATTTAATCGCCACTGGGCGCTTTACTTTTTGCGCTATAAAATAAAAAAAAGTGCAAAAAATTTGAAAAAAAAAAAAGTTTCTTTGTTTCTATTATATAAAATTTTTCAAACAGGTAATTTTTCTCCTTCACTGATGTGCGTTGATGAGGCAGCACTGATGGGCACTGATAGGCGGTACTGATGGGCACTGATAGGCAGCACTAAAGGGCACTGATAGGCAGTACTAATGAGGTGGCACGGATAGGCGGCACTGATAGACAGCACTAATGAGGTGTCACGGATAGGCGGCACTAATATGCAGCACTGATAGGCGGCACTGATAGGTGACACTGATGATGGGTACCGATAGACGGCACTGACTGGCATCACTGCTGGGCACTGACTGGCGGGCACTGACTGGCACAACCGCTGGACACTGACTGGTGGCACTGACTGGCAGCACTGGTGGGTGGCAATGGTGGGCAGCACTGGTGGGTGGGCACAGGTGGGTGGCACTGGTGGGCACAGGTGGGTGGGCACAGGTGGGTGGCACTTCTGGGCACAGGTAGGTGGCACTTCTGGGCACAGGTGTGTGACACTGCAGAGTGGCACAGGTGGGTGCACTGCTGGGCACAGGTGGGTGCACTGCTGGGCACAGGTGGGTGATCTGCTGGGCACAGGTGGGCGGAGCTAGTGGGCGCACTGCTGGGCACAGGTGGGCGGAACTTGCGGGTGCCACTGCTGGGCACCGATCATCAGGGCACTGATCATCAGTGCCCTGATGATCGGTGCCGATCCTCGCTCTGACAACTGCCGGTTCTCGGCAGTACTTTCCTCACGATCTGACAGCGTGAGGAAAAGTGCAGCCGAGAACCGGCACTTGCATTTCCCTCTGATCAGCGTGTCATTGGACACCGCTGATCATGTGGTAAAAGGCCGCTGTGATTGGCCTTCTACCACATCACGTGATCAGCTGTGTCCGTAGGACACAGCGATCACGGAGATCGCCGGGTGCGCGCCCCCTGGGGCGCGCAGGAGAGCGCGTTCTGGGAGGACGTCATATGACGTCCACTCAGAACTGGCCGGCCGCAGTGCAGCCGTCATTCGGCTATCTGCGGGTCGGCAACAAGTTAAAAAGTTGATTGGAGAGGAGAGGGGAAAACATATAAAGAACTGCAGAAAATGATAGGCTGCTCAGCTAAAATGATCGCAAACGCTTTAAAATGGCAACCATAACCTGAAAGATGTGGAAGAAAGCAAAAAAATTACCATTCGAATGGATAGAAGAATAGCCAAAATGGCAAGGACTCAGCCAACAATCAGCTCCAGGAAGATCAAAGAAGGTCTAAAGTTACCTGTGAGTACTGTTACAATTAGAAGACACCTATGTGAAGCCAAGCTATCTGCAAGAAGCCCCCGCAAAGTCCCACTGTTGAAAAAAAGACATGTGCTGAAGAGGTTACAATTTGCCAAAGAGCACATTGACTGGCCTAAAGAGAAATGGCACAACATTTTGTGGACTGATGAAAGTAAGATTGTTCTTTTTGGGTCTAGTGGCCGGAGACAGTTTGTCAGACGACCCCCAAACACTGAATTCAAGCCACAGTACACTGTGAAGACAGTGAAGCATGGTTGCGCAAGCATCATGATATGGGGATGTTTCTCATACTATGGTGTTGGGCCTATTTATCGCATACCAGGGATCATGGATCAGTTTGAATACATCAGAATACTTGAAGAGGTCATGCTGCCTTATGCTGAAGAGGAAATGCCCTTGAAATGGGTGTTCCAACAAGACAACGACCCCAAACACACCAGTAAACGTGCAACATCTTGGTTCCAGACCAACAAGATTGACGTTATGGAGTGGCCAGCCCAATCCCCGGATCTTAATCCAATAGAAAACTTGTGGGGTGACATCAAAAATGCAGTTTCTGCGGCAAAACTGAGAAATAGAGAAGAACTGTGGAATGTAGTCCAATCATCCTGGGCTGGAATCCCTGTTCACAGGTGCCAGAAGTTGGTTGACTCCATGCAACACAGATGTACAGCAGTTCTCAGAAACAGTGCTTATACAACTAAATATTAATTAAGTGATTCAAAGGAAAGCAAAATCTTCAAACACTTTTCAGTTTATATAGTGAATGTTTGAGTTTGTAAAGAAGAATACAAACGCTGCTATTTTTTGTGAACAGTCTAATATTCACTTTTCTTAAATTATTTTAGAGGAACAACACAAAATTTGATATATTTTTCTTCATGTTTTGATTAGGAATAGAATGTGTAGTGTTCCCAATGCATTTGTGTGTATGGAAATAAAAGCTATTAGAAGGATTTTGAGCTTTATTCACTTTTTTCAACACACTGCTATTATTTTTAACACAACTGTATATTTAATACCACTGTATTTATTTATGTACTGTTACTTTATGTCACTTGTTTAGTATTGAACATTTGCAGTTTTTCACACGGCCCATCTTTGGTGGTCAGCTGGGTGTTTACTTATTGCTGTATATGTCCTTTGCAGTATTTTACACTTGTGTCTAGTGTTTCATCTTTTTATTAGGATTGTGTATATAGTTTGCATAGTGCATTGATGCCCTGTTGGGCATTTACCTTAGTGTTGGACTGAGGCTCTGTCGGGTGTTTTTTGATTACTATATTGAATCCTGTTTTGCACCTTTATGAACTTATTTTATTTTCAGTTATATATGCCTTTTTGCACAGTAATGTAGGGGATAGTTTATAGTGCAGCACTATTAACTCACTATATATCATATAATCTTTATAATCACATAATTTTCAAACTTTCTAAATCTAAAACTTTCAACAAACCCTGGGAACCCTGCCATGAAACTCTTTGTTGAGGCACTTCCTGTTATTGGCTGACACTATTTCTGTTTCCAAATTGTTTTCTTATCTTGTCACTTTGTCATACAGTTGCAAGAAAAAGTATGTGAACCCCTTGGGATTACGTGAAGTTTTGCATGAATTGGGCATAAAATGTGCTCTGAACGTCATCTAAGTCACAACAATAGAAGAACACAGTCTGCTGAACATAATACTACACAAACATTAGATGTTGCCATGGTTTAATTGCACATAACATGTAAACATTCACAGTGCAGGGAGGAAAAAGTATGTGAACCTTTGGACTTAATAACTGGTTGACCCTCCTTTGGCAGCAATAACCTCAACCAAACGGTTCCTGTAGTTGCAGATCAGACCTGCACAACGATCTGGAGTAATTTTGGACCACTCCTCTTCACAAAACTGTTTCAGTGTAGCAATATTCTTGGGATGTCTGGTGTGAATCGCTCTCTTAAGGTCATGCCACAGCATTTCAATTGGGTTGAGGTCAGGACTCTGACTGGGCCACTCCAGAAGGCGTATTCTGTGCTGTTGCAGCCATTGTTTTGTTGAATTACTTGTATGCTTTGGGTCATTGTCCTGTTGCATCACCCATCCTCTGCGGAGCTTCAGTTGGCGGACAGATGGTCGTACGTTTTCCTGCAAAATGCCTTGATAAACTTTGGAATTAATTTTCCCATCAATGACAACAATCCGTCCAGGCCCTGAAGCAGCAAAGCAGCCCCAAACCATGATGCTCCCTCCGCCATGTTTTACAGTGGGGATGAGGTTTTGATGTTGGGTGTGCTGTGCCTTTTTTTCTCCACACATAGTGTTGTGTGTTTTCCCAAACAACTCAATCTTGGTTTCATCTGTCCACAGTATATTTTGCCAGTAGTGCTGTGGAACATCCAGGTGCTCTTTTGCAAACTTCAAACGTGCTGCAATATTCTTTTTGGACAGCAATGGCTTCCTCCGTGGTGTCCTCCCATGTACTCCATTCTTGTTTAATGTTTTCCTTATTGTAGATGTGTCAACAAAAAGGTTAGCATGTGCCAGAGATTTCTGTAGGTCTTTAGCTGACACCCTGGGATTCCTCTTTACTTCATGCAGCATTCTGCGCTGTGCTCTTGCAGTCATTTTTACAGGACGACCGCGCCTAGGGAGAGTAGCAACAGTGCTATACTTTCTCCATTTGTAGACAGTCTGTCTTACCGTGGACACATGAACATCAAGGCTTTTGGAGATACTTTTGTAACCATTTCCAGCTTCATGCAAGTCAACAACTCTTGATCGTAGGTCTTCTGAGAGCTCTTTTCTGCGAGGCATGGTTCACATCAGACAGTGCTTCTTGAAACCAGTAAACCCAAAACAGGTGTGTGTTTTTTTAAGGGCAGGACAGCTGTCAGCAACACATCCAATATCATCACACTGATTGGAGTCAAGGTTGGCTCACTCCTGGCTCCAATTAGCTCTGGGAGAGGTCATTAAGCTAGGGCCTCACATACTTTTTCCTCCCTGCACTGTGAATGTTTACATGTTATGTACAATTAAACCATGGCAACATCTAATGTTTGTGTAGTATTATGTTCAGCAGACTGTGTTCTTCTATTGGTGTGACTTAGATGACGTTCAGAGCACATTTTTATGCCCAATTCATGCAAAAACTCCACGTAATCCCAAGGGGTTCACATACTTTTTCTTGCAACTGTATGCTGCACTGATGAAGACTAGGGGGTTGAGTTACTAAAACTGGAGAGTGCGAAATCTGGTGCTGTTGTGCATGTTGGTCAATCAGCTTCTAAATTCAGTTTGTTCAATTACGCTTTAACAAACAACCTGGAAGCTGATTGGTTTCTATGCAGAGCTGCAGCAGATTTTGCACTCTCCAGTTATAGTAAATGAACCCCTCTAAGTGGTTGTGCAGACATTCAATCATCCAATGCACTATTTATTTATTTCAGGTACTTATATAGCACTGTCAATTTACACAGCACTTCACATACATATATTGTACATTCACATCAGTCCCTAACCCTCAAGGGGTGTACAATCTAAGGTCCCTAACTCACATTCATACATACACATACTAGAGCCAATTTAGACAGGAGCCAATTAACCTACCAGCATGTCTTTGGAGTGTGGGAGGAAACCAGAGTGCCCAGAGGAAACCCACGCAGTCACAGTCGCATGCAAACTCCAGGCAGGTGGTGTCGTGGCTGGGATTCAAACCAGCGACCCTAGTACTGCCAGGTGGAAGTGCTAACCATTTAACCACTGTGCTGCCCACTGGTTTGTTCCTCTCTTAACTCCATCAGAATGCCCAGAGCAATGATGTGCAGCCACAGCTGCAGTGCATACTTGTAGACAGTAAGTGGCTGCAAAAAGGCTGGAGCAGATTAACAGAACTGAGATACAACAAAGGATTAAAATGAGATTAAAACAGATTTTTCAAAAAGAAAAAGATGCTGTTATACACATGTCTTTAGGAAACCAAATATCACCTAGTTGGAGTTTACTGGAACTTCACTGGTCAGAAAGACCTAGGAGGCCCCTAGCTTGGAAGTATATAAAGGAAAACAAAAAACTGACCAAAGGACTAATAAAATTATCAAAACTTTCTTTGACTGCGCTGTGGGCCTTGTTCTTGGTGTATTTAAACTTCATGGAGCTGGCTGACAGGTTGATATATGACTCTTGTTTTTTTTTTCTATTTTATCCTCTCCCCACCCTCATTAAAAGACATTTTTCAGGCTGGGAAATAAATTGTGTTTGTGTATAGAACAGCTTGAAGGGGTGCAGATGTAATAGATTTGCACAGCGATTATGAAATTTCC